CAAAATGCTTATGAGACTTATAGGTGCTTGTCCTGATACCCTAGGGAAGTATTTGCATATATTAATACAGAAGGTATACAGTATGTAGTCTGTACACGTTGAATTCAATTTTGCGTTTCAAAGTTATTCGGCAAATAATAAAAAACCTATTTTCAAACTAGAAGATACCGTTTTTGAAACTTAAGGTCTAATGATAGCGTAAAGTACTATTGGATGAGTACAAGAAAACCAACATTTGTTTGCTTTTTAGTCCATCAAATATATTTAGAGGGGTAGCGGAAATGAGTTAAAAGTTGCATGTCAATTAAGAAATCCTCTTATCAGAGTATAATTGTCGAAGGTGGTCGGAACTGTTCTCCTTCAAAAGAGTAGGCTGCAAACTTACCAAAGTAATTTAATCGAACAGAAAAGACATTTCAGACTTTTGTTTGATGCTCCATGAGATAGAAAACCCACTGCAAAATTATACTGGAAATAGTATCAGGAGATCTATTCGGGGCTATGGCAAAGTATAAGTCTATATTGGGGTTTTGTATTCTCACTGACGACTATATGCTGTTACATAAAATTCCCTAACCCGCCAAAGACCAAACTTTACTTTTAAAAATGTGCTTTTGATTCGAAAGCATTAATTATCTTTGCAATATGGGTAACTGCCTAATCTTAATATATCTCAGTCACCTCAAAATGCCTGCTTTTTGACCAGCATCCTTCTGTCCGCCAGCGCAACCGTGTAAAGAGTAACTACTTAAAGCGTGTGCATTCAACTCATTGATCTTCACTGCTCTAAGAAATTAAAATATGTAGGTTATAGAAACCATGAGCATAAATATTCCTTCTTGTTCTCACTTGGTAGCCAATAACACCCTCTTCCTATTCCCTGCTTGAAGAACTGGTACTTTTCCGTTTTAAAAAATTTCTAATTGTGCCATCTTTTCTGACCATGTAATATGCATTCATAAAGCAACACAACCGTCTTTTCATTAGTGCCGTTCGTGAAATATACAGCTTCATCCTCATTTATTGTAACATTTTATGAGAACAATGTGACTTCGTCCTTACACTACAGAGTTATAGTTAATATTTTTAAAGTGAGTATATATAGTATGTAGTTTGAACACAGCATATTAAAATCTAGCGAGTTGTAGGCCAATTAAGAGACCTTTTTAAAACGGAAGGATGGGCCTACGATAAGCAATATTGCTACCAAAATTAATTAATATGTTCGAATCGAAAGCAGATTTCAGAACTACAGTTGGAGTTAAAATATTAACTGTACTTCAGTGGACATTATTATCGAGGATCATAAAACATAGGTAGCTCATGGAGTAGCATCTTACCCTGACGACTTTTCCACTGAGTGTAGTGTTGTCCCACGCTTCACCCAACTTGAACTTCAGTCCAAAGTCCACGACGGCGGCGTGGTTGTGGATGTAGTACTTGTCACCGTCACGTTCGATGATCATATCTGTGTTCAGGATGGCTTCGACTTGGGCTACAGGCGTGGTAACACCCAAGCGAGTACAAAGAGGCTCCAAGCCCTCAGCGTCCGTCATCTTCCATTTTCCCAAGAAGCCTTCCATGATTTCGAGACGGCAAGAGCAGAAAACAGTGAAGTTTACCGTCATCAGCGGCGCCTTTTATATGCGGCTTCATCGTGCTAGGGGTGTCATCACGCCGGCTGACAGTGTGCGTCTTCTTGGCTTGC